CGCTCGCCCGCCCTGGCTTTTTCCCACAGAGAACGTGAATCAGGTCCCTAGCCAGCAGGCCGAGGACGCCTTAGCGCGCACTTTCGACAAGTTGCTAGAGAAGCACATCGCCGACAAGGCGGCGCTGCAGGCGTGGTACCAGCAGTTCCAGACCAAGAAGGAAGACAGTAGCGCCACCGGGGTGGCCAGGAGGCCGCACCCCGTGATGGAGGCGTTCTTCAAGAAACGCGTGTTGAACTGAGGGTTCTAGTTGTGGTGGCGGCGGCGACGGCGGCGGCGTCATTGCTGCGTGGCACTGATTTGGCTGGTGGGTGGATGGGTGGGTGGGTGCATGGGGTGCGCAGCAACAACAATCGCAACACAAGTATCTCGGAGGCGCTCTTTTCTCAGCTCGCCGCGCATGCTGGGCTGGCTGTGGGCGTGATATGCCGATGACGAGCGTTGTTCGGCCTCGGGGCGCGATCAGTGTGCAAGAGCGGCAAGGCTTTATGGCCTGGGGGGTAGCGTGCGAAGGTGTTGTGGTGAGGTCGGGGAGGCAGACAGACGCAGTTATGGCGGCGTGTTTCGCTTACGCTACAGCGATAAAAGGTGGAGGCACTGTTCTCCCCCCCAAGGGTGGTGTGACTTACGCCCCTCGGGGTCGTAAACTTCGGCAGCCTCGAGCAACAGGCAAGACAGAAACTCGTGGAATTGATCGCGTTGCTTCATTTCCCTGTCTATTACGCCCCCCGCCGCCGCCGCCGCCGCCTCCGAGACGTTGCGGGGGGGGTACTTTTCTCAGGGAGACCAGACATTGAGACCCTCGGTTTACGCGTCCCACTCTATTTCTTTGTCCTTATTCTGTTTCTGTTCTTTAGGGTAGGGGCTGGGGGGGGGGCGAGAGGGACTCGCTGAGGGTTGTTGGGTGTGTTTTGGTTGGCAGGACCGTTGAGGCGCCTTGGCAAGGGTGCTCTTGGCGGTTTTGTTCATCCTGGCGCATTGTTTCTGTGTTTCTTCTCTCCGTGTTTCGTCGTGCGTTGTGGAAAGCATGTCCGTGGTATTCCTGCACAAGTGTGGCGTATGCGGGGGGGGGGAGGGAGGAGCGGCGGGAAGACCGGCGGGAAGACCGGCGGGAAGACCGGCTGGGGCAGAGGTTGACCAGCGTGCCAAACGCCCGGTCGTGGTTCGTGGTTCTCCAGAGAGTGAAGAGACACCAAGGCAGGGTCTCAGGGCATGTTTTTATTTTAGCGGTGTCTTTGATGGTTGCCTCTTTTTCCTCTCTGGTGGTTTCCGTTCTAATGGGGTTCGGTTCCTCTAGTTGAGGAGTTGAGCCAAGGTCGTTTCGATCACGGAGGGGATGGGTGCGATGATGATGCGTAAGTGGCTCCCTATATAACTAACCTACACGAGAGGTCTACAAGTCAACCATATCAACCATCCGTTTGTCGCTTGAGGCATCGCTGGTGGGTTGGCCTTGCGTAGTGTCGCTGCCGGTGTGCTCGTCAGCTGCACTTTTGATCCATGGGATTGGCTACCCATGGAAGGCAAGGGATAGACCCGTTTGAGCCCCCATGAACATGCGGCGGTCGCTACTTTGCCTCTCACCGTTCCTCAGAAGTGTCACGGTCGAACAGAGGCTGGAAAAGGGGGGCGGGTGGGGCCCGAAGTGCGTCACGTAGTAGGTGGTACTTCGGTGTTGTTATCTCTTGTGTTTTTGGCATGTAGTGTTCCCCCAATCGCGCTGTTTTTTAGGTGTTCTGGCAGCGAGTGATGAATGAGATGGATGACTCAAGCAACTTGTGTGCAGGCGGATCAGGCCCATGGTTCGCTGTGTGTGCTGCTTTTTTTTTTCGGTTTCCGGTGGGGCTGGGAATTTTAAGATGCACGGGTGGGGTGAAGTTTCTCAGGCATGCATCCCCACGATTATTTCAATACAACCTTGAACCAGTCAACGCATAATTTCGTCTCGCGTGTTGCAGCCAGTGTGTGCTGCAGCCAACAGCATCATCTGCTGACCCAAAAAAATAAGCGTGCGTGAGCGCTGGCATCTGAGATTCTACTTTTATGTAGCAGAATCCCTTCAAGTCTAGCCATACCTTTGTCGGGTGTCTCCTTTCTTGGCATCTGTTCCCACACTTGGTCCACACATCCACCGTCGTTCGTTGTGGTCGCCTTGTGATCCTGGTGAGTTGGTTTCGGTTTGGGAGCGAAAACTCATCTCAAGCGGCCGGGGTGGCGATATTGTACCCCTTTCACGCGTCACGTACATACGCCCCACAGGCTTTTCAAGGATACCACCATCAGTTGCTGCTCGGATTCAGCGCATCACTTCCATGTGTCGTACGTACGGCATATATTTTCGGATCTAATCTCTTGGGATGCCCCCGGTCTTGCACAGTGATTAAAATGGACCGTTCGTCCCTCGACAACTCATGATTACCTTGGGGCTCTACGGAACCATCCCGACCACGGCTCGGGTGGTTGCAGGTTGTTGCTGCTTTCCTTTGTTCTCGCCTTGATAGGGCTTGTCTCCGATCGCCTTGTATGTACATTATGCAGCCAGGACCCAACACAAACCAGACCCCAACTACAACAATGAGCAGGAGGAAGGCACGTGAATCGGAACCACACCTGAATCTTGCTATGGTGTCAAAAACACAACAAACTTCGGATACATAGTGCCAGATAACAGTGACGCACCACCATCACATGGGTACCTCCAAATACAATACAGAACGCGGGCCCGCAGTCGAGTAGTTCCGAATTCGTTAGGCCGTTAAAAAGTTGCACCTAAATTGAGGCCCTGCAAAAAATAAGTTTGGAGGGGATGCCGGAGGCTAAAGACGCTGCTTGGTCAACAGGAAAAAACACGATGATACTTTCTCTGCCCGGAGAAGCAGGACTTCGATATTCGGTGAATCAATAAACAATTATAAAGTGAACCGTCCTTTGCTGAATCGAAGAACCCAAGTTGCACTACGCCCCTTTTGCACCCCTTATGATGAGCTGAACTCGTGCTGGCGTTACCCCTGACGGGACCGCATGTGGTAGACTGGCCGTGCGGCACCCACGCGCATCGCCCACTGCCCGCTGCTGGAAAACAGCTGTGTTGCAATGATTCTGTAAGCAAGCGTGCCAACCCTTCGCGCTGGTTGGGTTGCTGTGGAGGTTGCTTTCGAATGAGTGCGATGTCAAAAGAAACGGCCGGTCGTGTGCAACGAGACAACCCAAACAGTTGTAGAGCAAGCATGAGGATGAGGCTTGGACCGCTGGCACCTCCTGCTGATGCTTAGCTTCGTGTGCTGATTATTTTTCAGCTCCCGTGTGGTGCACATGGTCTATCGCCCTACCTGATTGGGTCACCACGTCACCTCGCGGCAGCGATTCCGCCGCATTTGGGTGTTGCTGAACCTCGATGTGGAACAAATACGTTACAAAGACGCAAGCCCTTTTCGGCCATAAACCCAGTTAGGTCCATCCAAATTGGGTCCTCAATTTAGTTAGGTGCAACTTTCTAACGTCATAGCAGGCCCTTAAAAAGCTCATTTTTTCACGCAATAGACTAAATGCAGAAAATGGGTTACTACATAAAAAGCTCTTTGTGCCGTGGATTCCTACACTAAACTCTACATGTATTAACAACCTATGCTCAACATCAGTGATGACGAAGAAACTGAGCCCCGACCCCTTGTTGACGAGTCACAGCTGCCTCGACGGCTACTACGCAGTACGCAATAGGGCCAAATTGAACAGTATTATTAGTCCAAATTGCTGCTAAATGGACACATGTTCGAGAAGAAGCACGAAACACCAAGCTCTCTGGGAAAAACGCAGCATTGACCCGAACCTATCGACACCAATAACCCTGAAGATATGCGAACAAACAAATATATCCACGTGTATGTGCTCAAGTGTGTCCAGAGCAGATGCAACATAGAATGCGGCCTTCCATCAATATCAAACGGGACGGCGATGCATCTTCAGATAAACATATGTACTTGTACTTGAACGACTCAATCACATATATCCATATCCAGTGCGAACTTATCCGTTCTGCAACGACCTTGCGCTCGTCCATTGGGACCTTGAGCGAGGAAAAACCGAAAATCTACAGCAGTATCGACAAGAGCTTTGTTCATCCCACCCCCCGAAACTATCCCATTCATTCTGGACAGGCGCTTTGACAAAGGCTTCGACAACTACTCTCGCAGAACACCAAAACCAAAATCTGCCTCCCCGATCTTCGAGGGAAATCGAAAGCAGAATACATATTCATTCGTCGTCCGTTCCCTCTTGACGACAGAAAAAATACCCTACATCTTTCACCTACTCTTGCCAGTACCGAGTTGCTACATACACATACCGACGTACAATCACAACCAACAGTAGACACACATATATATCATGTGTCGCGAAGCTCAACGTAAAACCTACTGTACACGTGGGGCCACATGGGATGGTCTCGACGCGAAGAATCCTGCCGCGTGCAACTCCCAGTGGGAGGTTAACTACGCGAAAGAAAAGCGTATTACAACGCAGGGGAGGATGCTACACCAACAAAAGTGAGGCACAGTTGTGTCACTATCAACCACTTCTGTGTTACTGTTTCAGTCGCGTCTTGATCTGTAACTCGAGCTCCACGGGAGGGCTCCTCGAAGCCGCGACCCGCTTCAGCGCCCGCAGCTCCACGTCGCTGTCGCGGTAGTACGGCGCCGTCGCCCTAACGAGAAGCCGCTCCAGCCGTGGCACGTGCCCTCCTGCCAGGGCGCCCGCCAGGACCCTCAGCTCATGGTGAGGCGTGCGGCTGCAGTCCATGCGCAGCTCCCGCAACCGAGGGCAGACCCACAGCATCTCCTCCAGGTATGTGATTCTGTGCTCCGGGCAGAAACGGTTTCCCGTGAAGCTGAGGTGTTCCACGAGTGGGCACTGCCCCCAGGACAGCGCGTTGAGGATGACGTCATCGACCGCGACGTCCCTGATGCTGGACTGGTCGTCCCACCCTAGCACCCGCAGCCTCGGGGCGAGCCCCGAGCGGAGCCCTCGCGCCAGGTCGCGGAAGTGGCCCGCGTTCGCCCGGCAGTGCGAGAAGGTGAGCACTTCCAGGGCCGGCCACAGGCCGGTCGCCACCGCCCTGCCGGCCTTCGCGACGCCCGTGGCTCCGTCTACCAGGTGTACCCGTGCGAGCCGCGGGGCCACGCGGTGGCGCTTGGCAGAGAGGGGAACGAGCTCCCCGAGGATGGCGCCTACCCTGGAACGAACGCGCAGCAATTGTTGTCAAGATCAACGCATGCACGTACGTGCTACAGCACAACCAAACGCGAAATGAGAACCGTGGGTTGGAAGGAGCAGGGTGAACGAGGGAGGGAGAGAGAGAGAGAGAGAGAGAGAGAGAGAGAGAGAGAGAGAGAGAGAGAGAGAGAGAGNTGGCAGAGAGGGGAACGAGCTCCCCGAGGATGGCGCCTACCCTGGAACGAACGCGCAGCAATTGTTGTCAAGATCAACGCATGCACGTACGTGCTACAGCACAACCAAACGCGAAATGAGAACCGCGGGATGGAAGGAGCAGGGTGAACGAGGGAGAGAGAGAGAGAGGGAGAGAGAGAGAGAGAGAGAGAGAGAGAGAGAGGCAGAGAGACAGACAGAGATATATATGTACAGAGAGAGAAAGGCATGAGTCTGAGCCACACTTTTTTCCTGGTTGTGTGCGCCTTGTGCCATGGCAGGCGTACCTGGCGCGTCCGGTCCATGTGGGGCACCCGCGGATGGTGATCTCGCGCAGGGTGGGTATTGAATGCTGCACGACCCTCCTGATGGCCTGTTCCAGAGCAGGAACCTGGGTCTGCAAAGAAAAAGTGGCCTGTTTGTGGAGAGTGAGGATTTGAGTCCTCGAAGTCGAGTGCCGCGGGTTTGAGATATCACCGCCGCTGAATTGTTTGCTTAATAGACCACTGCATGTGTCCCAAGCGGCTGGATAATCAAACTACCAACGACGTCGTGCATGAGCACTTTTAGGGCCGTTTTAAACTGACCGACTTTTTGTCAAAATTTTTGAAAGTNGCACGTACGTGCTACAGCACAACCAAACGCGAAATGAGAACCGCGGGATGGAAGGAGCAGGGTGAACGAGGGAGAGAGAGAGAGAGGGAGAGAGAGAGAGAGAGAGAGGGAGAGAGAGAGGCAGAGAGACAGACAGAGATATATATGTATAGAGAGAGAAAGGCATGAGTCTGAGCCACACGTTTTGCCTGGTTGTGTGCGCCTTGTGCCATGGCAGGCATACCTGGCGCGTCCGGTCCATGTGGGGTACCCGCGGATGGTGATCTCGCGCAGGGTGGGTATTGAATGCTGCACGACCCTCCTGATGGCCTGTTCCAGAGCAGGATCCTGGGTCTGCAAAGAAGATGTGGCGTATTTGTGCGGAGCGAGGGTTTGGGTCCTCACAGTAGGGTGTCGTGGGCTTAGGATATCGCTTCCGACGAAGTTGTCGTTGCTATGTAGACCATTGCATGTATCCTAAGTGGCTGGATAATCAAACTACCAACGACATCGTCCATGAGCACTTTCAGTGCCTCATCTTGTGCAACACAAGAGGTAGGCTAAAAGGAAAAGCGGGTACGCGGGGTGTGGAAGCGTCCTATGTAAAGCCATCACCAACGACTTGTACGCCGTAACGGGGGGCAATGAATACTGCAAGGACATAGCAAGCGTGGGTTCTGTTATTCAAACGTAGACACGCTGTGAGCTTGAAACCAGGCTGTATTACGAGACCAGCAGAGAGTCGCCGTCCAACCGCCAGCGGAATATTCCTCGTGGCTTCGCGAACTACACACCTCTCCAATAGTAAGTAAGCTGCGACTCATATTGTAAAATTCTAAATTATGTCTACCACACAGATTCCGCTGCCCTCGATACTTGGAACGGAGGACATTGTTATTGCTGTATTTACTTCTGTTCAACGACATGGTATTCATATGTAATACATGCCCCACTAGCTAATTTCACAGGAGGAACGCAGCACAATGACATACCTCGTGCACGTGAGTGATCGTGATTCGGACGACAGCTCTGCCAGTAGCCAGAGCTCCAGAAGCGTCAATTCCCATGTGGTCTGTTAGTTCCAATGTCTTCGAGCAATAGGCAGCGGCCAATCTCCCAAAAAAATAGGCGGAGGCGACCTTGGCCATGTCCACTTTGTAGTGCAGCTCGCGGATGCCCCCCAGAGTTGTCCTACAGACGCCGCTGAGGGAGCTATCGGTCGTGAAGGAGACGATCTCCCTGAGCACAACACCCGGCAGTACGTCAAGGTAGTGTCGTTCTGCTGCAGCGGCTGGTGAAGATGATGGTGGTGATGGGGCTGCCCGGGCCACGGTTTGAGCTACAGCAGTGCCTGCTGCTGCAGTGGTGGTGGTGGTGGTGGTACCACCGCTGAGACGAATCTTCTTGTCGGCGGGGAGCGAAGAAAGGGGGTCGAGGGCGCGTTTGTCTGGCAACGAGGCGGAGTCCATGATGTCTCCTGGCACCTGCCAGAAAACAACCAAGCATCATGGTGTGTGAGGCTGTGACTCCTGTCTGTCTCCGATCGATGATGAGGATCTCTGAAGTCTTACTGCGGAGGATCTGATCATGTCCTCCACTGACGATACTGGAACCCTAAAGCAGACAAGACCCGGCCTCCTGAAAGGACCCGGCCACTTGCCAACCAATATCACTGCTCTAGGATTTGTAGCGTACAGGATTCAACGTCGGGAACTATTGCCGAAGGCTGAGGAACAATAGGCACGAAGCTCGCTGGCTATCAAGCGACCATTCAAACATGTGGCAAAATTGCTGTCGGTGTGCTCACCGGAATGTATGGCTTTCCCTGCTGTAGGTTGGTCTTTAGCTGGTTCTTCCTCCCTGTAGCGGGCGCGGAGGAGACGATTTTGTTGTGTGCAAAGGGGGCGAGTGCGTGCATGTGAGACAGAGGCGACGGAAGCAGCAACAGCAGTGTCGCGAATTCGCGAACGAATTCGCTTCAAATCTCGCCGCATTTTTCGACGCGTGGTTCGGACTTCGAACTCAAATCGCTTCAAATCTCGCCGCATTCTCGGCTCCTCCGCGCATGTGGTTCGAACGTTCGAACTCCCGCACATGGCTGCTGGCTGCACTCACGCATGCACGCTGCACCCACAGGGCATGAATGCCTCGATACTCTAGGAGTGCTGTCCAGGGATAACTTAACTGACGTATTGGTCTCGGGGGATGTGCGGGCGTGGGGTGCGGTACGTAGTTGGTACAGCAGTAGTGTCATGGAGTCGCCGGCAGCACACCGACCGATGCTACAGCAGTACGTCCTACTCAATGTTTCAGAGCTGGGGCCTGGCTGGCATCTTGCATCTTCGCAACAGCGCGCTTCCTCGATCGCGACCAATCCTGTGCGGGGTGCACTTGGGATTGGAGCATGATGTCAGTGCCCTGAATGCATGTGCATCTTGCACAGCAGTAGGCACGCATGCTTGTGGAGATGGATGTTGGCGAGAGGGATGGAGTCCCGGGAGCGGCTGGTGGGGCCGGCGCTGGATCACAGCAGAGTGAGAGACGACGCCTTCCGTGTTGCATCATTCCATGGACCAAAACCTGTTGGCAGGTTCTCCGCGTGAGTCCGTTGGTCGAACCCTCCTACTATAGTACTGGAAGCCAAAATAGGGACACCTTGAGGACACGGCACTCAATTGCCTGTTTACCGCACTGTAGCCGTCGTCGCTATGCCCAGCTGCGTGAAACGCGCGTTGCAATCCTTGGTCTACAATGCTTGGGTGAGATGGTGCGCTGTGTGATAGAGGCCACCGTTGCATGATGCCTGTGTGCCTCTCCTCGGCCTCTGACTTGCTGTAACGTATCTCACAAGCCGCATGTCCCCTAGATGGTAAAACTGTATAAGCCTGGTACTGGAAAACATGCTTACTTCCCATCAGTGTTTTAGAAAGTGTCCGCGGTGCATTTAGGTACGCTTTCCGTGCTGAAGCCAAGTCTGCCTTTGCCCCTCGGGACAGTACAGCCTCTCCCAATGAGCGGACGCGATTTTTCTGGACCCATAACCTGTAACTATAGTATCTGCGTACATGAGAGATAAGCAGTGAAACGTCGTCGCGAGAAGGAGAGAAGGGTCGCTGTGTTGTGTTGCTGCCTTTTTTTAGGAAAGAAGTTGTCAAGAGCTTTTGTTTGGGTAAACGACAAAACCCGGTATAGCATGGTCGAAAAGCGACTCAGCTGGGTACATACTTGTTCAACAGCATGAAACGAACCCAGATGATTGGTCAAGGCCCACTTTTACCATGCCGCATCCTAAGAAGGGCGGGGTATACCCTGCCGTGGCTAATTTATTTTCCCCATAAGTGTACCCTGATTTCGGAAAAGGATGTTTGACCTGACGGGAAACGAGACCTTTTCATCCCCACTTCCTTCGCGGGGATCTTTTTCCTAAACCTTTTCCCCTCCAACCTGGAGTACCAACCATCAACTCTTGCCGATTAAAAACAATCATGTCTGGCTGACTGCCAAACGCCAGCATATTGTTCCGTTTGGAAATGTGCGGGGTGTCACGTACGTCTTTGCTTATATAGTCCATTCTGTGATTAGGTGTGCTTGGTGTACGATGACGATAGTACACGGGTAACTTTGTGCGCCGCGCCTTTCACCGAAGCTCCTTCGGCGCCACTCCTTCCTGATGATTGGTTGTGATGGCGTGTGCGTGCTCGCGTGCGTGCATGCGTGCGTGTTTTGTGGCTTTATGATTGTTGTGTTTTTGTCTCGAATGTTGTGTTTGTGTGTCGCTTGAATCATTAGGATCGATCTAGCCTACCAACCGACCAATTAATAATACGCTAGTCTTCGGCGGGATGAAATGACAAACGCGAACATCCTCTCTACCCACAGGGAGGGTGCAGGAGTTGGACAACACGGCGTGCCCTGCTTGTGGAGTAGAAAACTCGATGTGTGTGTGTCCTTCCTCCTCTCTCTGTGGCCATGAGGTTGCCGCCACCAAGCCACTACACACTGGTCGCCCCGGTGGTGTAGTGGGTAGCCTCGCAGCCTACTGAGGGCCAGGTCATAGGTTCGAGTCCCGGCAGAGAGAGTTTTTTTCTCACTATTTTTATTAATAAATCCTGGTCTAGGATGAAAGCGACGCGCTGCAAAGCTCGTTTTTTAGTAAACCATAATCGACTTCGTAGGTCGCGAGGGAAGGGATTGCTATATCCTTCTCGCGATAAAAATACCTCAGGCATAAACCGCAGGAGGGGGTCCAACCCTCCCCTCCTNTATTTTTATTAATAAATCCTGGTCTAGGATGAAAGCGACGCGCTGCAAAGCTCGTTTTTTAGTAAACCATAATCGACTTCGTAGGTCGCGAGGGAAGGGATTGCTATATCCTTCTCGCGATAAAAATACCTCAGGCATAAACCGCAGGAGGGGGTCCAACCCTCCCCTCCTATGTGACCCCGGTTGGGTCGTCTAGCTAGTAGAAGTGGAGGATAGGGACCAGAGGGGCAGACGACAGAGTCCAATGATGGGAGAAAAACAAACAAGCAAAAAAAACATCGGAACATGCATGCATCTCAACCATGCTGGATCAGTCTCGCGATCAAAGCGCGACCCGTATCTTGCACATAGTAGATGGTTGCATGTAGATGCTAATACATGCATACAATGTAGGTGTGCGTTGCTTTCCAAACGGAATTGTGCTGACATACCCTCCCCCGCAATAATATAACTCCAAAATAGGAAATTGGGCACTGGTATTTACAAGCCCGGGAATCATATCTCGAAGAAGTCCTATCCGGGATCTGCGAGGGATTTTCAATTGTTCTGCTGCACCTTCTCGTTGTAGCGCTGTTCCGAAACAAGCGTGACGTCCTCGATGCGTTGCGCGCACATGAAGATGCGCACACCCCGTTTCCTGCAGGGTTTGGTTCGCCCAGCTTGTCACGCCCCCTCGTTTAGGTCCGTCGAGTGCTCCCATAGCTTCGATTTTCACGATATTTTGGGATGTAGGCTCAGAGTTTGGACTTGACCTAGGTCGACGTTTGCCGATTTCTCAGGCCGACTACGATCACTGCAGCGGCGATCGAAAAGTTTGCATGTGATCAAATTCGTTCTCTATGGTCTGTTTTTATCTCTAGCATGGTGCATGCCGTGTCGAATTGGGATTCTATGGCAATAAGGCCACCTTGCGTGAAGGCCCTTCCCAAGATCTGTAAAGTTGCGTGCAGCAGCAGCAAACGGCTTCTATTCAAGTGTTATCGTCGGGCGTTTCTCCCGTTCAAAACCTAGGGACAAAAGGATAAAGCCAGCTTCCCGATGGAGGGTATTACTTGCTTGAGGCGCCCGTCTAATTTTGTGGCACTTCAGACCATGTTCTAACAGGAGCTGTGCACCCAGAGTTGTCATCCAGACCACGAGATAGACCGGATACATCCACAGAACCCTCGGGTTGATTGGGTGAAATGATGATGAGACCCCTTACATGGAAATGCACATGTCCTGACTGAAACTACCCGTTCGAGATACATGTAGCACCACGGCTATATTTGTCGAAGGGAATATGTTGAAGGTTTTGCAAATCCTGCTGGATACGGCTCATGTCTTGAATCTGTTGAAGCCTATACACCGACGGATCAAGGATGCCAGGTGGTGTTAATCACAAAACACATCGTCGTATATAGGTACAGTCGTCCCCGCTTTAAAGACACCATTTTTAAAGACACTCCCCGCTTTAAGGACACAAAAGTCTCAGAAACATGGTGCCCCGCAGATGTGAAAGATTAGGGGGGGTTTTCCACGATTCGACCCCCCCAGAAAATGGGCTGCAGCACCTGTAGATCCTGGATCATCAACAGCGGTCTGCTGCAGCCGCACACTGCGTGTGGGTGTATGGAAAGATTCATTCCATCTGCTAGCGGTTCGTCTGCTGCCGGCTTGAAGCCATGCGGCAAACCGACGTGCCAGTTCAAATCTGCACTGGTGTCACTGGTTCATCAGTGTCCGTGCGGGCGACCCATGCACGCGTTTTGGTGGTACAGTACGGGGAAATTCAAACGATGGTATGCAAATATGTATTGCAGCACAATAGCAGCAGTGGTTGCGACCTTCAAATCACCTTGTGTCGTAGGTTTCAAACAACTCTTCGTGTGGTCGCCTTCCTGCTACGAATGCGCACCTTTTGACATATGTTTCGTCTTCATTGGCCCCGGGGATGGTGCGTTAGTGGCCCCGGAATTTTAAAGACACTTCCCCGCGTTAAAGACACTTTTTGGGGGGGAAACGTGGTGTGTCTTTAAAGCGGAGTCGACTGTACTTAATAGAGAGGGCGGGAAAATGAGCCGCGGGGTATGACTGTATACCAGAGTATGTTGCAGATCTGTAATGCTGTGCGTTGTACAAAGCACGTACTGCGGCATTGTTGTGTTGTTGTCGGATTTTCGGACTAAAGGGACAGACGCAAGCGACGATTTGCAGAAATCATGACCAACTCTTGCAGTCGGTCTTTTGTTTTGGTGATCCGAGTCATCGGCCGACAAACCACACCTCATGCATACCGTATATGACACAAGATAACACACCCCCTGGACCGATTTTCAAAGCTCGA